CTTCTTTAAAGTTCCTCGGAAAACGGCATTCCATATAAAGCTACACACAAGCCTGCCCAAACCTACACCGACATGAATAGGGTAGATGCACTGGTTAACCGACCGGCACTGGTTCTCGACCGTTCTGGCATTTAAGACAAAATAATAAGAGAAATATTCCTTGTACCATTGGATTTAAAATTGCTGGCAGAATGGGAAAAAAGTTGAGCTCCTCGCACAGAAAATCATTTGATAACCGTCTGTCATCGACAGAGGCTGTGTTATCGTCCCCGTTTGGAAAGTGCTAGTTGATATCAGGCCAAAAAATAGTGAATAACCTTCATTTTCAATGCATTAGGTCTTTGAGTTTTGTTTTATATTGATCAGTAGATGAAGTTTTTCTTGTATTTCAAGAAAAACAGACATAAATATTATTTTTTCGATAAATATTCGGTGGTCGCGAACCCGTTTTACGGAAATTAGCTCTTTTATTTCTCGACCAAAGTGATCGAGAACCAAAGCATATCTTGAATAATTGTTTATGTCTAGATACTGATACAGCGTGTTCATTTGAAAACTTCCCACCTCGAATTCCTCGAAACATGAAGGTTTTTAAAAAAATCGCAGAAACACGTAAAAAATTTACGAAGGGGGACAACTTTTCAGGCAAAAATTGCTTCGCCTCCTTTTACCCCCTACCCTCAGGAGCTACCCCCCTAAAAATCTTAAATAGTGAGGGGTATCGAGTGATAGCTCATTTGAAAGGTCTTTTTGATTCCTTTATTGTGGCGTTTGATTTTTTGAAATCGGTCGATTCGTTTTCGAGATAATTAGAAAAATCTTTATTTATCTTAATTTGTTCAGATAGAAAAAAGAACACACGAAAATATAACTCTTTATTTCAATAAGTGTTCAAAAACCAACATAAACAGCAATTCGTAAGATTAGACGTGGCAACAACCGAATAACAACCCGATTTTTTTCTGTCTTCTTTTTATATATCAACACAGATAACATGGGCGAACTGTATTTATTCTTATACCTGTTTAGTTTTTCATAGTTGCTAAGGAAAAGAGAGAATTCAATTTGCTGTTAGTTACCTTTGTGACAATCTTGACATAGTGAAAATTAATTTCTTTACGACTATCGTATTCTACATTGATTACATATAGGTTATAGTAATTGATGAATGAATATGATTCCAAGACACCGTGGATCCCAACTCATTATTCAACGGCACTCGACCAATCACAGATTCAGAATTTTCATGATCCACTGCAACTGAAAAGGTTAGACTAATGAAAAACCAGCAAATCTACCAAACAAATTTCTCAAGAAGGCTCTGCTTCATTTTACGGGTCACGTCACGGTTTGACTTTCGCCAATGGCAGATTGACTTATAGTGTCTTTTAAGTTTTAACTTTGATATCTGGAGGATATAATGGAGGCTTGCCGTTCCATAGAAATGTACTCTATGAATATTGAAGATATTCAAGATCTTGAATCTGTATGGATGATAACTATTCCTGAGACCAAAACAAAAATTGTTAGGAGGTTCACTGTAACCGGAAAATTTTATCAATTTTGTGAAAAGTACATTGACATACGAGCAGCAAATGTTGTGATTTCCAATTTTTTCATGAATTACCAAAAAGGAAAATGTACTCTTTAAAAAATTGGAATTAATAAGTTTGCAGCAATGGGAAAACAAATAGTTTCATTTTGGAAGCTACCAAATCCCGAGATGTACACCGGCATTGCTTTGCTTGTCAATGCAGGTTGAGGTATAACAGCATTGAAAAGACATGGTGGCTGGAAGAGCACATCGGTGGCAGAAGGATTTCTAGAAGATTCCATGTTGAATAAAAAAAACGGCAGATTCGAATTCTTCAATGAATCGAACAATGTTCGTCATCATCAAATAACAGTTCCTTCACACAAAAAACATCAACTAGCAATATGAATAAAAATGTCAGTGTTGATTTAAATGCAACACCGACATTAAATTTCACGAACTGTGAGAATATCACTAAAAATTACGTCACTAAGTACGAGAAACATAATTTACTGACCTAATAATCATTGTGTTGTTTCATCATTGAGTTCGTTGAATATTAAAGATTTCTGTCCATTGTATTATAATATCATTAAAATTGATACATCAAGTATATTATTTTCATAAATAATAATTAGATCACATTAAATTTCTGACTATCGTATAGTCGTAGAGAAAGTATAGTCCTCTACTCGCGTATATTAGCTATTATACGCTCGTTGAAGAATATACTATTATTGATTCAGATTTTACTTTCAAAATGGTTCACACACTAGCCGAAAGAGTGGAAATGATTCTAATTTATGGTGCACAAAATCAATGTTCTCGGCAAACTGCCGTCACATTTAACGCCAGACATCCGGACAAGATAACTTCGCATAGGTATGTTTTGGACCTTGTTGCTAAATTTACTGAAACTGGATCTGTTGCAAATAAAAAACGTAATCATCGTAGAGTTTTGGATGAAGCCGCTCAAGTTGAAGCTTTGGGTCATTTTGGCATAAATCCTAATACTTCATTACGCAAAATTGTTGAAGCAACTGGTATCTCTCTTCATAAAGAACTCAGAAAATAACAACGAAATCGGCAATTTTTCAATTTCCCCCTTCATCTCTGTATATCGATTGTTTGATAACTCCTTCAGTTACTGAGATAGGTAGCATATGAAAACGCCCAATTTTGCCCACCCTGTACATATAAAATGCATTTCTTATTTTATCATGTAGACTCGCCCCCTTGATTTTTTGCGCATAATTTCCGGACACCCTGTGTATCAATTTTTTTATGTTCATAACATAATTATATCTGAGAATATTCCTTTTCAAACGTACAGGGTGATTCATCATAAATGTCCCACCCTCTAGCTCAGTTATTTTTGAACCGATTGCAAAATTTTAAATATCATCTAAAATGATTTCCGATAGAGTTTTTTTCCGCTACATCCGAAAATACAAGGTGCTCGGAATAAACGATCTACAGGGTACTATTTGATTTTTTTAAATTAAACACCCTATTTTTCATTGTATTTTTAGATTTTCCTTGAAAAGCTGATTTCATCAATGTATCACACTTGGGGTCTAGCGAAAATGATTACAGAAATATAAGGTGTTCAAAAGTTCAAAATCGAGATTTTTCAACTTTAGGATTTTTCTGTGACAAAACTATTCACTATCGGTCGAAACGGCTTTCATGTCCGTATCTCAACTCTTGGTTTACTATCTACTGACATTTAATAATTGGAACAGATACAGGGTGATCAGAATTCTGAATCTTGAACCACACTGTATATGTTCCAATCAAATGTCAGTAGATAGTAAATCAAAAGTTGAGATAGGGACATTGAAGCCGTTTTGACCAATAATGAATAGTTTCGACACAAAAAAATACTCAAGTTGAATAATCTCGATTTTGAACACCCTTTATCCTTCCGAGTGAATGGAGCACAGAATCCATCGAATCACTGGGAAGGAACACCATTACTTGGTATACGGACGGGTCTAAAACACCCGAGGGAACTGGAGCAGGAGTCTTTGGGCCTCGCACCAAATACTTCGAATCCATGGGACAATTCCCCAGCATTTTTCAAGCGGAAATAAATGCCATAGGAAGATGCATCCAGTTCAACGTAGACAGGAAATACCGGAAGAAGGACATCCCGATTTTATCAGATAGCCAAGCAGCCATCAAAGCGTTGAGCTCTCCTTACTTCAACTCGAAGATGGTATGGGAATGCCTAAGCAAATTGAATGAGCTAGGCAGCAACAATAAAGTTACCATCCTATGGGTGCCAGGGCATATCGGAGTGGAGGGGAATGAACAAGCAGACGCTCTGGCACGACAAGGGGCTTCAACGACACTGATCGGACCAGAGCCATTCTGCGGCCTTGGAAATTCCCATTTCCAAGGAGAACTTGAGAAGGCGGAAGGAGCCTGGAGAGCCAGACAATGGAGAAGACTTCCAGGACTACGGCAGGCTAAAGATCTCCTTGGAAATTTCAACCGAGAAAAATCTAAGACACTGACAAACCTCAGTAAAGGAAGTCTAAAAAAAAAATTTGTTCTAAAATTTGTTCTATCCGTCATTCGGTTGCCCCCTTACGAGCAACCCTCAAAAGTCTTCGAAAGTCTTGTGCGAGCAAGGAATGACGGGGGCCTTACCTTTTAACGTGTGATCCCAAACACTTTCTTGGGCCATCAGAAAAATTTCTGCAGTCGACGGGGATCGAACCCACGACCGGCAAGCGAATGCGAATTAGAATATAGACACTCTGTCCGCACGGCTACCTGGCCACTCTCGAAGCAATAACGGGATTTCTAACGGGGCATTGCAGACTCAAAGAACACCTAAGGAAGCTAGGCTTACAGGAGGACGGCACCTGCAGATTCTGTGACGAAGAACCAGAAACACCCCATCACATACTGATGGAGTGTGACGCTGTACATCACAAAAGATTGAACATACTGGGAACACACCAGCTGACTGTGGAAGAAATACCACAGCTAGACCCTCTCAAAATCCTCAAATTCCTGAAGGAATTGAATCTCGAGGGGCTGCTCTGAACAAGAAATCCTTGATATAGCAGGAGCAGATGGGGCACAATAGATCTAATAGGGTCGCAGCGCATCTGTCACCATCCAACCTACCAATACCAATACCAATACACCCTTTATCTCTGTAATCATTCACGATAGACCCCAAGTGTGATGCATTGATGGAATCAGCTCTTCAGGGAGAATCTAAAAATACAATGAAACACAGGGTGTTCCATTTGAAAAAATCAAGTAGTACTCTGTAGATCGTTTGTTCCGAGCACCCTGTATTTTCTAATGCAACAGGAAAAAAATTTACGGAAAATCATTTTAGATGATTCTTCAAATTTTCAAATCGGTTCAAAAATAAGTGAGCTAGAGGGGGGGACATTCATGGTGAATCACCCTGTACATCCTGCCTGATGGGGGTACTCACAGGACTTGCAAGTGCTGGTCCCTGCGCAGCAGCTCGTCTCTGCCCAACACGTCCAGGATGATCTCCCTCTCTCTGTCGGTGAGCCGGGTGGCCTCGGCCTTGGCCGCTGCGACCACGGCGTGCGAACACGCTCGATCGCCGCAACAGGACATCGCCGCGCGCGTCCCCAGGCCTGCTCGCGGTACCACGACGACAGATATTCGGGTGAAGCTGGAAACAAAAGACAAAATAGAAAATAAATAGAATTTTTCTGTTTTAGAATTTAATTTACAGAATAGTTTTGAGCAAGACAAAAGTCAAAAGTGCATAGCACAAAAGTCGCTCGAAATTGTAGAACTCCGCAGATGCCGACACTGGCACAGCAGTGTCCCAGCGAGCACAAACATCCCTGGGATGTTTTGGGATGTTTTGAAAATGTTGTCATGAAGATGTTATTTTGAGACGTAATATGCACTGACCAAAGAGGTCTTTGAAGGATATTAAAGTATTGTTTTTATTCTTCTGTGGCATATCTTTGTTTGCCTACTGAGAGATATCCCTGGGATGTTTTGGGATGTTTTAGAAATGTAGGCATGAGGATGTTTTTTTTGAGGCGTAATATGCACTTCCCAAATAGGTCTTAGAAGGATATTGAAAGTATTGTTTTTGTTCTTTTGTGCCCTTTCTTTGTTTGCCCCACCACAACGTCTCATGCTTACGTCACAATACGATGAATTCTGATTTGTATTCGATTTTGTTCTTCTTGTTCGCAATTGGCATTCGCGTTTGCAGCATGTCACGCTTACATCACGCTGCTAACGAACAGAAAGGAATTTGGTGAAGTTTATTGTGTTAGAAGACTTATTTAGTTTGTAATAATGACCATCAGATGCAAGATGTGTCGTTCGGTGCCTCAGTGTAATCAATATATAAAAGTACGAATTCATCAATACACAGCTTCTCCGCAGTTGCAAAATTATGCATTGTGGAGAACATTCCAAAAATTGGGAAACCTATTTCCAATTATATATCTGTGTGTAGTAAGCACTACTCAGAAACCGATTAAGAAGGTAATTTCATATCGAGAAAATATTTTTATGTTCAATCTATTTTTAATGCATTTTTGCATTCAAGGGAAATGGAATCCTAATGCAAAAGTTCATTTTGACAAAAGGCTTCAGAAAAGTACCTCGAAAATGGTTTTTTTTACAGCGTTTCAATGTGCGCAAGACGCGTTGAAATTGTTCTGTTGTGTCCATGAAAAGGCTTTAAAAAGAACTAGGGAGAAGGTAGTTTTGTGACATATCAAGGACATCTCGATAATTGCCACCTGCGGCGGACATTGGCTGTTCTATAATAGTTCTATTCATGTGTGAACAGAACATCGCAGTGGAGGTTCAATGTCTCGAAATCTCGTACTTCTAACATCTCTGAGATGTTTTTGTGCTCGCTGGGGTGTCTTTGGCAAAATGAACAAACATTGTTCTTTGCGTTTGAGAACTACTTCTTGAACCAACTAAACTGGTCAACATTGATAACGTCATGATCCGAAATATAGCCTAAATTCAAAGTAGAATAACGAATTTCCTTACCAATTTGAAATCGATTTTTTCACCGATGATTATCCTAATCTCTTGGCAGTTTGTTGTGGCAATATGAAACTTCTGTAATTTCAGACAACATTGCTACATGGTGATAATTGAATGGGTGTAAAATTGCATCGTGGTCATCACCTTACCGTTTGAACAGATATACAAACTTGATATATGCTTTCTCTCGAATCATTTTCGGAATTTCCAAATTCAGAACTTTGATAATCGTGTTATGAATATTCATTCAAAATGATGCATTTTTTCGACGATTAGTTGAATGAAATTGGAAGAATTCTTTTTCGAAGAATCAACGTTGTATGTATAGTCGTCGGATATGTGATCGTGTGCGAACACAGAAAATTCCCAAGAAGTCTATACAATGTAGTACAAGAAATACTGAATGATGGAATGGAGAATAATGAAGTCTTCAGTAGATGAAACACAATTTTCTCTGTGTTACTAGTGAAATAATGGATTGTAACTTCGTCATGAGGATGTCTGGTGTCTGACCTCGAAAGGGTTTTGTAATTTCTCGGATCGAAGGTCATATAATCAAGGTACGCATTTTTAATCATAATATGATGCATTTTCGCTGAGATTAATTATTATAAAATCCAAAAAATTACGATTGTACCTCCAGAAGTATAAAATTTATATTTTTATATGGATAAAATACTAGTGATCTAGAAACAAACACTGTGGTTTAATTCTTCATAGGGTTGCAGTCAAAATTTTAGGCATCAAATAAGTGAACTCTTCGTTATTTAGCCGAGCTTTCGGAAATGTTTATTTCCTTTTTCAAGACATCTATAAGAAAAATGGTATGCATAAAAAACAAAATCAAACTCATAGGAAACTAAGTACCTACTTACTTAACATGAGATTGATTCAAAGTTGGAACAATTAAAGAACAGACGATTCATTCCGAAATTTTCCAATTTTTACAATAGCATCATAACCTCTGACGCCGAATTCCAAAAACCTGCAGATACCAATTTTGAAAAGAACCGGATCATATAATAATTGCAAAACTCGTCCACCATTATTGGATCCGCCATCTGGAATTTTCAAATTTTGACGAACGAATCATTCCAACCCCGAAAACTCCCAAATACGAATTTAGAGTAGTTTCAGTTTATAATTACAAAATAGTTCATGATTACTGAACATACAAACATACAAACATACGAACATATGCAAACATACACCAAGCTAATATAAGCGGGCTGATAAAAATCGAAATTAAAGTGGTAATTTTCCTCACAAAACCACTAAGATTTTCAATATGATGAATTATCTTATGCTTATATGCCCTAAAAATGGTTATTTTATGAGATAAGTCATTCAGTTCCTATATCCTATAACTCTGAGTATATACCGTCACATTGAGTATTTTTCAATTTACAAGCTGATTGTGATTAGAAATAATGAATACATGTTTTTTAATAGCCTATGATAGTTCAGTAAACGAACAAGAAGATAGGGGAAATAATTCGTGCAGTCACAAATTTTGTTTTTGAATAATTCAAAACTCGCTGGCTCTAGCGAAGAAGTGTAATAATTATAAAAAGATAAAATCATGCAATTTCCCTCGAAATGTCCTATAAAAAAAGGTTCCACAATCAATTGTTTCTGAGACACAAGGGATGAGAACATCGATAAAAATATCAAAAATAGAGCTCAATGGTATGAAAGTGATAACGTTAAAATAGTAACAGAATCATCTTCATCATAATCATTTTCCATATCGAGTAACGGTGCATATGTTCGTATATTCCTCACACCATGAACTGAAATTCTCAGATTTTCGGCACCCACATCGTTCCTAACATCTAGTAGAACATCGGAAGAAGAAGATAGTTCAGTCCCAGCGAGCACAAAAACATCTCAGAGATGTTAAAAGTACGAGATTTCGAGACATTGAACCTCCACTGCGATGTTCTGTTCACACATGAATAGAACTATTATAGAACAGCCAATGTCCGCCGCAGCCGGCAATTATCGAGATGTCCTTGATATGTCACAAAACTACCTTCTCCCTAGTTCTTTTTAAAGCCTTTTCATGGATACAAAAAAAACATGTACCCTTCTCCATGATGTGAAATTATGCCATATTTTGATACAAGCGTATGCATGTAAGTATATCTCATCTCAGAGCTGATGGGATATATTGTTCCAACTGGAACGATATGTCCCACACTGAACGCGTTCGAAAAAAATTTAAAAAATTACAAACACCTCTAAAAACCTTCTACTTTCGGAATATGAAATCATAAATGAAATAACAATCCTCACGAAATTTTTTTTTTAAAAATCTGTTTTGAAAGGGTTGAATTGTGACAATCCACATATACATTTTTCCGAGCCTTTTTCCAAATGCAACACTATACCCTGTTCTTCATATTTTTGGAGTATGGGGGTCAGCCTTTTCAATATACAGGGTGAGTCAATAGTGTGTTCTCCTTGTTGAATATTTAGTTGGTATCTGGTATATTGTCAGTTGACATTGTTGACATTGACATAAAAACCTAATCAAAGGAAGAGAAAGAGAGAGTCCACGTTGAATGGAAGATGTAATCTTTGTAATATTAGAAATCCAGTAACAATTTGTTATAAACCAACCCTCATAGTACCGTAACCTCGACCGTAACATTCCTTCGATATTAGCCAAACCGTCAGATTTATAAAAAAATTCGAATACAACAGTTATAGGGTTGATGATGGGTTTTTTAAATGGATCCCCCTGTATATTATTGCATTTTTGGGTTCTCCCTGAAGAGCTGATTTGATCAATGCATCATACTTGGGGTCAAAACGGCTTACATGTCCACATCTTAACTTTTGATTTACTATCTACTACTGACATTTGATAGGAACAGATACAGGGTGGTTTTAGATTCAAGAATTCTGATTACCCTGTATCAGTCCCAATTGAAAAAAGTTGAGATAGGTACATAGTTTTGACCAATAATGAATAGTTTCGACACAAAAAAATCCTAAAGTTCAAAAATCTCTGTAATCATTCCCGCTCTAGACTTGAAGCACAGATTCTTGAAGTATGATATATTGATGATATCAGCTCTCTAGGGAAAACCTTAAAATGCGATAATATACAGGGTGTCCCCTCAATAAAAAAAATATCATCAGCCGATATCTTGGAATTCGAACACCCTATAGGTATGAAAATAATTTCAGGTGATAGTTCTCATGAAACCCTATAACTATTGAATTCGAATTTTTTCTATACATCTGACGGTTTGGCCGTGGGAAAATGGATGGAAATCATGAATACTGAGAACTTATTCAAGTAGGTATACCAACCGACGAAAAAGATACATCATGAGACGTAAATCGAGGACATAAATTGTAAATAATAGTACCTATAGGTCCGTGTGATTTTTTTTTCAGATTCAGGATATGTATACCTTCTCTTCAAATACGATTTCCGCTGGATTATAGTGATTGATTTCCATCAGATGTATGGATTCGGACTTCGGAGGTCCATGGACATCCCTTCACCTGATGGACAGAAAATGGGGATTCAATGAATGTTTATGTGCTGCCTGGATTATTGGCTTCGCCAGTTATAGAAACACCATGTATAAAAATAAGGGGGAAACGGAGTGGGCGTAGGCATATCGAATTAAATTCAAGACACTGCAGTCCGTACCTACTCCTCTCGTGACCTTCCTCAAACTCTCAGGTCACCTCATCCTCATCCTCCTCTGATCATTACGCGTTTTTACTCTCACACAGGCAACACGTGTCTCTCCCCAAACACTGCCGAAGATTAGTGAACTCTAGAAGATGGCTCACTCACTCCAACATTGCGTTTTTTGTTTTTTGCACCGCGAAACGGTTGCGGTCGGTTGACAGTTAATACGAAGACGATTTCATTAGTCACCGGCAGGCGATTACCGACAGAATCCAGCAGGCGGCGAGACATCTCATGATGTGGATAAGTGAACGAGTGACCCGTCTTATAGTCTCCTCTTGTAGTCTATGCCACTGCGGCACGCGCCACGGATTCGATACTGTGATATCGCAGCTGGCGCTGGCGAAGCTGTTGCTGCTGCGTGAGTGCCGGTTTTCAGTTGTTCCAGAGGCGACGCGACCGAGCAGCAGCTGAATTCCGCGTGGGACTGAAGCGGAATTGAACGGAGGGCGGAAGCGATCGTATAAGCGGACGGGGGCTTATCAAACTGGGGCACTGGAACGCTGTGCAGTGGCGGTGCTTCTGTCATCGTCAAACAGTGAAATCCGTCATTCCCTGAAATGCCTAGTCATTTCAGATATTGCCGGTAAACAGCGTAGTGTAACTTTCATTTTAAGCCGTTACTCCTCAGGCAACCAGATGACGTTCCAGTGACGTCTTTTTCACGTCACTTGAATGACCAAGGTGACGTCAGTAGTTACGTCGCATTGACGTGACAATGACGTGAATAAGTCACAGCCCAATGACGTCATATTACTCACGTCGTATTGACGTCATTCACTCACCAAACTGTGACGTCCGACTGACGTCATAATGACGTCAAAATGACGATTGAATTTGGCGATGATACGTAAAAAAGATTCCTTCAACATGGTGTGATAAACACCACTAGAATCTGACGACATTATATAATATTGATTATTGCATTGTTGAGTCTGTTTGGGGGGTCCCTCATGTGTCATGTTCATTCAATCGCCTATTCAGCAGCGCCATCCTCCAGTACGCATCTCCATCAGAATGCAATCAGTTACTCGTATTTGTATCAAAAATTATGTAGTTTGTGTCGGCGAGATGTAAGCAAACAAAGAATATTTTGATAGCAATGGAAAGGATGTTGGCGAATTTGGCTTCACTTTGTTGAAATATGTATATTGATGCATTCTTTGTGACCCAACAAAAATCTAAATAGCAAATTATTGAAAAATTTCCTAAATGACGAAGCTCACCAAATTGGTACGTCACACCGACGTGATTTTTAGACGTCATAGATACGTCACTACGACGTCATAAGAGTAACGGTTTCAATATAGGTATACCTGAACAATCATGTTTATATAATATGCATAGCTTGTTGGTTTTCGAGATATACAGTGTGTCAAAGTTTTTTAGAAAAAAGTTTTTCTACTACTTTTCTGGTATATGCTCCTTTTCTCTTTCTTCGTACTCTTATAGATTAAGTTCAGGTACTTACAGTTTTGTAATTCAATATTGGCATCGTAAAATATTGATTGCAGAAGAATGTTCCACAACTCAAGCCCTGCTTAGGTGGCTTCTTCTGATTAAATTTTTTCTTAAATATAGATAGATGTTTTGTTTTATGTTCACATACATATAACAATAACTATAGGTTTATATTTTTATATGTTCCGTAATGTATATGTACGTTCTAACTCTGTACATTCAAACTCTAACTGAAGTTACTTACTTACTTACTGACTCACTTACTATATCAATAATAAAAATAAAACTTGCATGTCGATTTGCTTTCATGAGTTATACTTCTGTTTCACATGATAATATATAAGTATCCATGGTTTAGAGAAGGTCTGGGGAAAATGGACGTCGACAGGACGTCCCTGCAACGTCATGAAACTGACGTCTTCTTTCACCCATCTAAAGTGACGTCCACTCGACGTCGAAACAATGACGTGATTATCAAGTCATAGGAAGTACGTCATAGTGACGTCATAAATTGGTGTGTGACGTCTCTGACGAAAAATCACCAATTAGGGACGTCACAGTGACGTGATCATTCGTCATCTGGTTGCTTGATCCTATTTGCCGTAGGATTGAGGAAGGAGAATATCATTTTCCTACAACTGTCAAAAAAACTGCACTTTTGTATTAAATGTTTTGTGCCTGAAGTGTACAAATCTCCTTTACGAGATTCAGCAAGGCAGCAAGTGAACAAATCAAGGCGGCTGACTGACTGAACATTTCCTACTCGTAAAAAAACTACTACTTTACACACTTGTAACATAAATAACTATTCTGCATATGCATTGAAAAGGAGTCTACTTTTCCTGAACGAAATCTACTCAAACTTGGCCTAAATGAATCTTCTTCCTAGAAAATATATTGTTACGTTTTTCGGGTGCAGAAGCGAACACGACACTATTTATTTTCGAACTGATTTATTTTAACTAGAGGAACACTAATTTATATCGAACTAATAACTACTATTTATGTAAAACGATTTATATCACGCGGTATATGACTGTCTTTCTGACACTCGCTGCTTGACTGACTGACGGCAGTTGTCCGGCCGTTTATATATGAGATCCCTTGGTAGACTTTGCATCTCGAACGTTCTCGAATGATCTTCCGTACCCTTCTTTTTGTTCTAGAAGCTTCTTAGAACAATTCCTCTCTCTCTCTAATTGTTCCATCGATTGTTTCCAGAACATTCCAGAATCTTCTGTCACGTTATTTGTCACCGCGGCATATATTGAGTGTTCGGAAATATGCTGGTAGAGGTGGGAATCATTGGGATGTTAGAGAACAATCCGGGATGCGTGTCTTTCTGATGATGTTTCTAGAGCCCCTCTTAGGGAAATATCATTACAATATTTTTCGGAAAATTTCCCGGGAGAACAAAAGAGACTACCTACTATTTCTAAACAAACCAACCTGATATTCGGCCTCAATCAACCTTCCCCCCGTCGTTACAGCGAATGCCTGAAATTATTAGGCAAACGGTGTACGAAATTCAGAGTTATAGTGGACGCGCTTATGTTCAAAAGAAGGCTGTCGTGGGCTTGGAATGATTGAAGCAAACGACATATCTCAAATGTCAGCACTTATGATATAGAACGTCTCACCACTTCTTGGCTACCCAAGGAACGCGTCGTTCATCCCCTGCAACCCATTCAAGGGTGAACTATTCAAATCACTAGTAGTAGCAGCAGTAGTAGGTGGGGAGGCTGTTGCCAAGCAAGTAGGCCCCTATAGGCCCTTTTTGCTAACCCCTGCTCTCCACATATCTACGCTTCCTTCACCTAGATTTCCTTTACGAACCTCCCTGACCTTCTGATGAACGCCAGTATATCTGTCCACTCTGATATGATCAACTCCTCCTGTTGGAGTTTGTCGACTCCGAAGATTTCAAATCGAGAGGGGCTATCACAGCCAGCAAATCACTATATGCACTGACAGCCAGGCGGCGATCAAGGCGCTCACCTCGTATAGGGTGACCTCCGCCTTGGTGTCAGAGTGCATAGATAGCCTACAAAGGCTGTCAGCAACGAACAAGGTATGTCTTTTGTGGGTCACTGGACACTAAGGGGTACCAGGTAACGAAATGGCCGGTAGTCTGGCCAGAAAGGGGGCGAAGGGTTCAGTGATTGGCCCAGAGCCAATCTTAGGGGTCACTCGATCCTGGAGCAACTTCAAGATGAAGGAAATCCTGACGGGAATGTTTCAGGACAGCTGGAGAAAGGCTCCTCGAATGAGGCAGTCCAAACTCCATATAGGAAACCCGTCACGAAGACAGACCAATGCCCTCTTGGCTTTGAACAGGAAGGAGCTGAAACTGGTGGTGGGCCTGCTGACAGGGCACTGCCACCTGAACAAACATCTCAGCTTGATCGGGATTGTGGAGGATCCTGAATGCAGATGGTGCCTGGAGGATGAAGATACTTCTACTCACATCCTCACTGAATGCCCGGCAATGGTGGCAGCAAGGGATATCCGTTTTGGGAGCAGTATCCTGGACCCAGAGGATGTTAAGAAGATTTGGCCAAGGAAGTTGGTCTCTTTTGCTCGCGAGATCGGCCTTCTCCATGGCTGACTTGCGATCCCAGGAATGTGGGTGCACAATGGGCCCGAAAAGGGAGGCCTAAGTGCGAAAGTGCGTCAGGTCCCGGACCGCCCACACACATACATACATACATACAGATTTCAAATCTCAGCCTCCCGTACGCCTCGCACTCGCCGAGAAAATGGAGTGACTCTATTCCCATGAGTGTTAGGTGTCTGCCTAGCCTGTTGTGTCCTGTGAGTTCTCCTATGAGGAGGCAGAGTACTTGGTAGTCGCTCCCTAGCAGCCAGTCTTTTCTTGATTTGCTTGGACCGGCCACGAATTCCTTGGCCTGCCTGCAACCTGTGATATTCCTCCAGTATTCTCGAGGGCTGACCTAGTTTGGCTTCTTGCTATACCTATAGTACAGGCGCCGGTCTCAGTAGAAACGGCTCCGCGGATCTGGCCCTAGCATGTTCGTCTGCTGTTTCGTTTCCGGGCACCCCACTGTGACCCATAATACCAGTTCAACTTCCTTTGATTCGGCTAATATCCCAAGGGCATTTCCACATTCCTGTACCAATGCCGAGCTTGGTCTGGGATGACCAATAGCGTTGAGTGCTGCCTGCTTATGTTCTTCAATCTTCATTTTCATGTAGCTCTTGTACTTGTATTGGAATAATTTGAATAATACTTAGTAGTTAGTACTCATCCACATATTCAGAAGACACACATCTGTTGTTTCTAATGACACAAAGAACTTATACACAGTGAAAAAAATGAGTGAAATTTAACACTATATACCTGCTTTAGAGTAAATGATTCAACTCTATAGTTTAGTATATTATAGTGTGATTTTTTCAA